TATATCAAATTTATTATTTATTAGTGTTTTTACAATATTAATAAAATTATAATTTGTAATTTGGATATAAAAAAACCGATTTAAATCAAACCGCAATAAATTGGATCGGATCGGATCATATTTTTTAAACCAATAATCCAAAATCAAACCAAACCGCAAGTAAATATATCTTTGGATCAAATGACATTTTGCTTTAAAACCGATTCAAACCGAACCGCGAACATCCCTAGGATCCATTACCTCAATTCTACAAGGTCCGTTCCATGATATATTTGGAAGAAACAACACAACTGAAAAAGTGTCACACTCTATCAACAATTATGCTTTCATCATGTCTCATAATAACGCCTCGGTTGATCATTCCTCATTCCGCCCTAACCGCGGTGGCAATAGTAATAACTATAGAGTATGTATCAATGGTTGCGAATATCACATACGAAGTAGAGGTTATGGACACAGTGAGGGTTATTTCCTGCATTATTAGTGGCCTTTGTACTGCTACCCACATTAGTAGCGGGCCTATCCATTGTACCTGAACCAATATCCACAATGAGACTCCTTACCGTGGGAGCCATCAGACACACCACCTTACTTGTTTATGACAACTGGCCACTTAAGCAAACAACTAAACATTCTTGGTTCAAAGCCATATCACTAGACTCATGTCACATATGGAGCTCTAATATACTCATATCCTCCAATAAACATTCAAGATGTTATGCATACCCTTTCTAATTCTCAAGATGTTAGCCATATCACTATACTTATCATATGATGACAAACTGACATAATAACATGTCTTATTTAAATATAAGTAGGGGTGACAAAAAATCCATACCCGCATATATCTGTGAATAAAATCTGTACGGATATGGGATGAATAATTTAATAGATATTCACAGATAAAATAAATGGATATTTAAATACCCGTTTGTTAATGGATATGGATACGGGTTTAATGATATTCGTGTCCGCGGATATCCATATCCGTTAATAAGTTATAAAAATCATTTAAATATTATTAATTTATTATACCTTATGTTTTCATCTTCTTAAACAACCTTTCACATTTCATTCAAATTCGATTAGCCATTTTATATTTAAACTCTTTATTATTTTATATTTCACTTCCACAATTTTATAGTCCAACCAACTAGTGTCGTTGTTCCTCTTTCAAACTAGTGTCTCCCTTCCTATTCCTCTATCGTTCGCTCTTTCATCATAACTCATAATCACAATATCTTTAATTTTTATGGTTAAAAAAAAATATGGATATTATGTTTGGATCAAATTATCTTTTGGTGAATAAGAAAAAAGTTAATGTGATAAAATTTTATTCTTAAATTAAGAGTGAATGTATCAATGTTATGTGATAATAACTTTTTGTGTCTTTAAAAGAAGTTACAAAAATTTCAAAAAAAAAATTTCATAAAAAATTTATTATCCATAGATATCTGTAAATACCCGCTGATATCGTTAAACCCGTGGATTACCCGCTTAACGGATATCCACATGGATATGAGGCTGATATGAATATCATATTTATCAAATGAGGCGGATACGTATATCATATTTTTTGTTCCCATAGATATCCATTTATATCCCTAAATATAAGCAAAAATATTACTTTTAGTAGTAGTAAAAAATATTCTTGTTAGTGTCTTTGGATATGCATCATTATCTAATTCCACTCATCCTCTAAAATTACCCAATGCCTTACATGCATTAAAACTAATAAAAAAAAAATCTTATTTCTGTTCATAAATTTACCAATGATAATGACATGTCGGTTGAATTTTGGTTCATTTGATTTTTCTATAAAGGATTTTTAGACATAAACACTTTTAATGAAATGTAATCATTCTAACAACCTCTATTCAATTACCATAAGAGCACCTACTACAATCTTGCCATCATTCACCTATGTCACTTATTCATTGAATTATGGCACAACCATTTTGGACATCCAAGAGCTTCTATCTTGAGATCACTTCACCAAAACAATTTTCTTATATATAATAATATTCACAATAAATTATTTTGTAATTCATGCCCTTTTGAGAAACAAATAAAACTACTTTCTTATAGTTCTTGATATCTCGTACTTGTATGCCTTTTGATATTATGCAGAACAATATGTGGATTTCATCAATTCTTAGTTCAAAAGATCACCACTATTATGTGTTATTTCTTGATGACTACACAATTTTTTAATGGATTTTTCCACTTCATACGAAATCTCAAGTTCATTCCAATTTTCTTCAATATCGAGCCCGCCTTAAAATATAATTTGGAAGATAAATTAAATATTTTAATGTGACAATGACAAAGAATATGATAACAATAATTTTTCATAAACATTAGAAACCAAATGGAATATCCTTTAGATTTTCATGTCCGCACACATTTCTACAAAATGGAAAAGATGAAAGAAAAATTTGTACCATAAACATCATCTGTACCCTTCTTGCTCATGCCTTTTTACCCCGTCAATGTGTCATCATGCACAAAAGTGGTCACTTACCTACATAACATCCTTCAAAATAAAATCCCCTTATAATCACACACTAAAATATTCTACCAAAAAAATTCTTCATATTCTCATCTTCGAATTTTTTAGTGTCCTTTCTATCCTCTTATCCCTTCTACGTCTAGAAATAAGTTACAATTTTAGCCAACACCTTATGTCTCCTTTGGGATATCCACCAAACCACAATGGTTATATATGTTAAGGGTTATCTAGCCGCAAAATATTTATTTCCTAGCATGTTACTTTTGAAGAAAATATATTTCTCTTTTCTAATTTAAATGCTCCAACAAGGATTAGTTATATGTTTTTGAATGATGATACACATTTCTTCCATCCTATGTCTACACCGCCACCTCTTAACAATCTAGCCCTTACTCAACTTTCAACTCAACCACTTCAAACCACAACTAACCAACCCACACCCTTCTCTCACTCAACTCTTATGCCCTTCCACAACCAAATCTCACAAATCACTATCTCATCCCCATCTACCACATCACCTCCTTTCGAATTTTTCGACCACCAATATCATTTCCCATTGATCCAACCAAATTCACCACAAATTCTACCTCACTTCCCTCAAATGACCACCCGTGCACATTATGACATTGTTAAGCCTTACAAGCTTTTCAATATTCATACCCCAAACCAAATATCTATATCTCTCTTACCTATACATATTTTTTATTCATTAGATTATCATAAATAAAAAATAGCCATGATACAAATATTATGCTATTATTGAAAATAAGACGTGGGACTTAGTACCTTACCCGCCTAATGCTAATGTTATTAGAAATTTATGGATTTTCAGGCATAAGAAGAACTCCGATGGATATTTAGAGAGGTACAAAGCTTGCATTGTACATAAAGGGGAAAATCAATAAACGAGTGTAAATTATCGTGACACATTCAGTCCAGTGGTTAAGTTGACTATTATTCACACGATACTCAATATTATTCTATTCAAATCACGGTGTCTTCCTCAATTAGATCTTAAAAATGCAATTTTGTATTGGAACCTTGAGGAATCTATGTTCACGCATCAACCTTCTAAATTTCGTTACCCTGAATTTTCTAATCATGTCTATTTACTAAAGAAATATCTCTCTAGACTCAAACAAACACATCCCGCTTAGTACCAATGTTTTACTAATTATGCAACTACGATGAGATTCTCTCCCAATATTTTCTAGTCAACCTTTATTTATAAATCATCATGGCCATGCCATCACCTATATTCTTTTGTATGTAGATGAAATTATTCTTGTTGCATCATCTGACACTTTTCGTGAGTCTATTATAACACAACTTAGTTTCGAATTCTACATGAAAGATCTGAGAACTTTTTCTTGCTCAAAAGAGATATGTAGCAGAAACTATAGAGTGCACTAGTATGTTCTCTTGCAAGCCATCATCTACACTGGTGGGCACAAAGCCGAGAATCAATGGTTCCTCAAGTAACCCCTATCAATGTCAAACCAAATATCGTAGCCATATTGGAGAATTGCAATACTTCACATATATTAGACCCAATTTTTATATGTGCTCAATAGATGTGTTTATTTATGCATGACCCAAAAACACAACCTATGTTGCCTTGAAACTGAATATTCGATACGTTCACGGTACCATTGACTTTGACCTCCATCTATATCATTCATCCATCAACAAACCAACGGTACCATTGACTTTGGCCTCCATCTATATCATTCATCCATCAACAAACTCATCTCTTCCTCAGAGAAAAATCATGTTTAATGTCCAAACACAAGAAGATTTATCTTTGGTTATTTTAACGAGATAATTAAATAATATTTTTATTAATTGTAATTTTTAAAAATATTAAAATATAAAATCTTTTTAATTCTTAAAAGTTTTATATATTTGAAGGCTAAAGTGATTGATTGACTTGATCCTTAGATAGAACATGAAACTTCTATTTTTAGTCAATGAAAGTTGACTTATATGCCAAGAGGTTATGTGTTTAATTCTAGCCGTCAATGTGAGGTCTTGTCTGATCTTGATGAAATATTATTATTGTTCATATTGAGTAATTTCTGCACAAAAATTTAAAAATAGTCAAGCTGGATAGTCCCTTTCCAACTATATCTTGTACGTGTATAACATCTAGAAATTGAACCCTTGGACCACTTGATCTTCTATCTTTCAAACCAATCTATGTTGGTACAAGGAAGCTTCTTAGGAACACTGACAATGATTATGTGGAAACATATTGACTTTTGATATATAGAAAACTCTTGAGGAATTTTCCTTGAAAGTTAAGGCTTTGATACATAACAATTTCATCCAAATCCCAAAACACACGTTCAAAAGTCAATACCATGATCTTTGTCACTACTATAATTTCTCAAACATTTCCTCAAAACTTTAGTACTATAATTATGGATCACATTCACAAAGCTTAACTAATTATTCCCTCACTGCCTAAAAAGCCTTTTAATTTAACATGGATCAAGAGTTTTTTGATGCAATTAAGAAAAATGACATGACAACATTTTCAAACTTGGTGAAAGAGAGAGAAGGAATCCTCAACCAAAGAACAGATGATACCTTAAGCACTCCATTACACCTTGCTTCCAAGTATGGTTGCATTGAAATTGTGTATGAGATTGTTAGATTATGCCCTGACATGGTTTCTGCTGAGAATAAAAACATGGAGACTCCAATTCACGAGGCTTGTACACAAGAGAATGTTCAGGTTTTAATGTTGCTGTTGGAAGTCAATCCCATGGCTGCTTGCAAGGTTAATCCTAGTGGTAAAAGTGCTTTCTTTGTAGCTTGCTATCATGGTCATCTTGACTTGGTGAACCTCTTGGTGAATCTATCTGAGAATGTTGGGCTAGAAGTAGTAGGGTTTGATCAAGCTTGTTTCCATATTGCCGCATCAAGAGGGCACTCAGGTACGCATAGAGTTTTTTGTACTATGTTTACTATGTTTGTCTGTCTATCTGTATATGGTTGATGTAAGCTATCTCCAAAAATGTTGATTGTGTATGCAGATGTTGTTAGAGAGTTGTTGAACAAGTGGCCAGATCTTACTCAACTTATCGACGAGAATGGGAATTCAGCATTGCATCATGCTTGTAATAAAGGACACCGAGAGATTGTATGGATCCTACTAAAACGTGATTCAAATCTTGCTTTACAATACAACAACAATGGTTATACACCATTGCATCTTGCAGTTATGAATGGGAAAGTCTCAGTCCTCAACGATTTTGTGTCGGGAAGTTCAGCTTCATTTCACTGCCTCACAAGAGAAGAAGAGACGGTGTTTCATATAGCAGTGAGATATGGATGCTATGATGCTTTGGTTTTCTTGGTGCAAATTGCCAATGGCACAAATCTATTGCACTGTCAAGATAGATATGGCAACACTGCCTTACATCTTGCAGTTTCAGGCGGTCGCCATAAGGTGAGAAATTGACACGAGTTATGAATACATTTTGCATTTTCACGCGGTTGCATTAAACAGGAACGATGTAACTAACGAAAAGTAATGATAAAGTTTTTTCCGAATGTTTATGGTTTTATGTTCATTGTAGATGACAGATTTCTTGATCAACAAGACAAAGCTGGACATTAATACTAGGAATAGCGAAGGGATCACAGCACTCGACATTCTTGATCAAGCTATGGACAGTGCAGAAAATAGGCAAATACAAACCACATTTATCAGAGCTGGTGGTAGAAGAAGCATTCAATCTTCCTCTTTTTCACTTGAACTTGACAAGGCCTATTCTCCCTCACCGCCATCTAGGCTTTCTCCGTCGCGACATTATATACCCACCGAAATGGAAATACTAAACGAAATGGTATCTTATGACTGTCTAAGCCCTCCACCAGTTAGCAAAAGCACTGAATCTAGATCACCTCAGCTTCAAATAAACGAGACATTCGATAATGGAACCGATAATCCTTATTACTTTTCACCAACAAATTTAGTGAAACACAAACATCATAATAATAACAAAGGGAAAATGGAAAACATGAATCATACCAAGAGGAAAAACTACCATGAGATGCACAAAGAGGCATTACTAAATGCAAGAAACACCATTGTATTAGTGGCTATTTTGATTGCTACCGTAACTTTTGCTGCTGGTATTACTCCACCTGGTGGTGTGTACCAAGAAGGACCAATGAAAGGGAAATCAATGGTAGGTAAAACAACAGCTTTTAAGGTATTTGCAATAAGCAATAACATAGCACTCTTCACCTCTTTATCTATAGTCATTGTTCTTGTTAGTATCATTCCGTTTCGAAGAAAGCCACAAACAATACTATTGATCATTGCTCATAAGGTTATGTGGGTGGCTGTGGCATTTATGGCAACTGGCTATGTTGCAGCAACATGGGTGATTTTGCCGCATAGTCAAGGGATGCAATGGCTATCTGTTGTGTTATTAGCACTTGGTGGTGGCTCTTTAGGAACAATCTTCATCGGTCTTACGGTGATGTTGGTTGAACACTGGCTGAGGAAATTTAAGTTGAGAAAGGGAAAAAAGGAAAGTGGAGATGAAAGTGTAGACTCAGATAAGGAAAGTGAGAGTTCAGATTTTCAAAGCTCTTATTTACAAGGTTATCATTCATATTGATTAATTTTTCGGCTCCCAAACTGAAAAATATCATGTGTTATGTGTAGAAAATTTGTTCATTAATATCAAAGTCATTTTGCAAACGAAATTTTGGGCTAAATGTTTAGCATGAATTATGTAGTTTGAATGTTGAATTGTTTCTAGTTGCTTATGCGTCATGGAGTTAATGGAAAATTCTGTGATTAAGTAGAAACATCCAACGGTTATGTATGTGGAATGCATAATATATAAACTAATGCAATGCTTCAACATAGAAACAAATGTAAACAAAAGGGAAAGACAAGATTATATCATGAATATGTCAATACAATACAAAAACCATAATGAAATCAAATTGATCCTAAACTAGTTGAAATTGGAAAAAAAAGTTCAAATGCCAAAGCTAAACAACTCAAATTTTAGAAAAACTATACTCCAGATGGCTGGTCAGCGGATCGCGTATCACTGCTTCTCATCTGTTCAAATGTGTCATGCGGCAGTTCGGGTACATTCAGACCATCCCTAGACATCCTGTTGTCTTTACTCTTCCTGCCTTGACTCGTATACATATAGAGGAGATGTTTGCTGATTATCAGAGTCATCTGATACCAGATGAGGTTCGGGCTACCATAGCGCCGAATGACTGTAGTTACGTCGACAAATACATCAGGTGATTTTTCAGGATCTCACATCCGCACATGGTGCCGACTGTTCCAGGAGATCCGTCGGAACCCGCCCATCAGAAGATTCTAGAGGAGGAGCAGACTCAGTTAGATCATACTGAGTATTTCTTGCCTCGGCATCGTCGCATAGGGGAGATTGGCCAGTGTTAGTGCGATAAAGCAGCAAGCAAAAATATTATTTTTGGAAGAATTTCCTTCGGGATTTATCGTCTCCACAGGGATTAGTGCGATATGAACGCCGTTCAACGATTTCTACATTTCTAAACTTATTGTTCAAAAGTTTTGGTTTAAAAGATTCAAGGAACCATAAATAAAAACAGAAAATATAAAATAAAGACTGAAATATAAACGGAGCCTTGTTGGGATTGGATTTCATCAATTGATAACATATGCATTCTTCTGATCAAATTAAACACAACGCAGTCATTCGTCTAATACCCTTACGTATCACTCTCGACAAAGCTTATCTCTAATGCGGCGTCGAGAGAACAACCATGTTGTCTCATTGGTGATCTCTCACTCAACAAAAACACAACACAGAGCATTAAGATCTGATACTCACGCAAATGCTAAGCTAACCTATCTCTAGAAATTTAGGACCTAACAGGTAATCATCCTAGATCCAAATCTGAAGAGTATATCTCTATCACGGTTCAAATCAAAGATAAACAGGTAAGCAAAGACGACACCCATATCGGAATAACGATTTTTTCATATAAAATACAATGATCAGAATACGTACACACGCTTAATCCTTTTTACATGTATTCATCTAATCCGCCAAATGGTTGTGAACATCATTCTTCATCACTATTATCACATACCCACACAATATCATATTGATCCTACCCATGCTACCCATGCTACTTAATCAACACAACACCATAGAAGATACAATGAATACCAACTTCAAAACCATGTCAAAAGTTTGTTTATTGATAGAAGAAAATCTGAGATCAAAGATGTGAAGAGGTTTTGTCAAGACCCATAAATAAGCAATCAAAGATAATCATTCAATAGAGAATCCAAACTAGTTCACAAACATAAATTAGATGAAATACATAAGGTATCAAAAGATTACAATCCAAACCCCAACAAGAGATCGAAGATCTTACCTCCTCCCTCTTAGAGTTTTATATTTCTCTCTCTAGAAGAAATGAAGAGAGATAAGTTCTGTTATCCCAAATGTTACAAAATGAAGTTATGACCTAAAAAAGCAAGAAAATCACTTAAATACACGTTCAGGATCTGTCATGTTCGCCTAGCGAACAGCTAGCGAACCTAGAAAACTTTTGGTACTTTTGGCACTGTCCAATTCTGGGCGCGTTCGCTGGCACGTTCGCTACCTGCTCGCCTAGCGAACGTGACATCATTTTGGTGGTTTGCATGTTGTCTTGGTTTCCTTGCCCATTTCTTATGTCTTACTCTTCACTTGTTTTGTGCCTAATTCCTGCACAATAACACATAAATCAAAGGTACCAAAAGATTTTCTCATAATGTTGCAAACTAACCAAAACAAGAGTGGTTTTCAACACTTAATTGACGAAAATGAGTGAAAAATGCCAACATTTGATATATCAAATAAGTGAAATTTGGCGTCTAACAGCCAGGCAGGCATTGGCGATGGTATATTCCTAGAGGACTCTGCTGCATGACAAGTATTGGATGCCATGGTTGCAGAGGCACAAAGAGCACTATTGTACCATAGATATCACACGAGGACATGGGGGATCGATGACCGAGGAGGCAAACTAGGCATAGGAGGTAGATGAGAGGTTGTCTGGCACATCCAAGAGTTATCTGTATTTATTTTGTTGCAGAACTATAGTTTGTATATTTTTCCTGACATTGTTACTACATTTTGGATTTCGTGTCTTACGAAATTTTATTACCATATTACTATAGTGTTTTGTATGTCTGTTATTTTATTTGGGATCATGCGCCATAATTCATCTACAAACAAATACATAGCGCATTATTAAAAAAAACTGTTTTGATACACTTCAGAGATGTATCTCCGAAAAATTTCCGTAGATGCATCTACAGAAATATTCAATTAAAAATGGGCTATGGGAGATATGTTGCGACTGTTTAAATTTTTAATAGTTTTGGAGATATATCTCAGAATATTTTAACGTTTAGTCAGACGTGGGCGCGTCTGAAGATATATCTCCAAAAATGGGGGACATAATAGAAAATCCACATGGTGCGTAAGAAATGCATGGGGTGAGAAAAAATGCTCTTTTATTTATTATTTTTTTTTGCGGATATATTTATTTCAAAAATAAGATTATGATGACATATGTTTTGTAGTATTTATGGTGTAGTCGTATTACCTTGTTGTTGCAAGAGCAGTTGAGCTATTATGATGATCATTTGAGATGTTGTGTCACTTTAGCAATTGAGCTATTGTGATTATCAATTGAATTGAAAAAATAAAGATATAGTGAAATATGTTGAATCAAAGTATGCTTTTATATACAACATATGCATATAGCTTTCATCATTACTTGAATGACAAACAATTTGAAACTAACACAAAAAAATTATACAACTGACTTATAATCAATCATAACAATCTATACACTATAAACCCTACATTAGTTTGCCTTCTATCACAAGAAATTAAGTAATACATGACAATTATTTCATTCCTAAGCCATTCCTCAATTTGACAAATGACTCAAGTTTCAACGGCTTTGTAAGGATATCTACCAGTTGTTCATGAGTGTTGTAATGCTTCAACACCACAACTCCATCATTGGTTAGGTTCCTGAGAAAATGAAATCTGACATCTATGTGTTTACATCTTTCAAGCATGATATGATTCTTTGATAGCTTGATTGAAGAACTGTTGTCACAGAAAATGATTGAGCTTTGCTTATGAGGTATCTTCAAATGTTCCAACACATTTCTCAACGATACTCCTTGATAAACACATGAGGGTGCAACTACAAACTCTGCTTCAGTTGTTGAGAAGGTTACAATATTTTGCTACTTTGAGGACCATGAAACTGCTCTAGAGCCTATCTTAAACATAACCTGAAATGTTTTTCCTATCATCTTCATCTATTGTATAGTCAGAGTTTATCCACCCTAGTAGTTGTAAGTTGTTTGTAGTTCTTTGTTCATGAAGTATGCCAAATTCTAAGGTGTCATGCGAGTACCTCATGATTCTTTTGAATGCAACTACATGCATCTCTATGGGCCTTTCCATGTATCTTGAAACCAGACACAATGAGAATTCCATGTCAGGTCTTATTGCTAGAAGATACATTAAGCTTCCTACCATTTGCTTGAAATTTGAGGCATCAAAAGCTTTACCTCCTTCATCTTTAAACAATTTGTTTCCTGGATTGAGTTTGGCTATGAGATCATTGTCAGAATAGTTGTCTTGGTCTACCACTTCAGTATCTTTGGTGTCTTGAATACTTTCACCCATTTGTTTAGCCTCTTCACCCTTGTTCCTCCCTTTTGGTGCAAGGTCCTTCGATGTTGCAACATTTGGTTAGACATTTGCTTGATCGTGCAGTTTAGGATCAGATCCCTTCAAGCAAGAAGACATGGGTATATTGAGTGTGTTGGCGACTATTTTCCCAATGGCAAGATGGGTTCGTCTAACTTCTGTGTTGTTGAGATCATCAGATGCAGTAGAAGAAGGAGCTTGACCTGTGACACGGTCATTTGACCTTCTTGCATGGATTTTGCTAGGTTCATTCATCAATAATCTGTTAGGTGTCACCATGCGCAATTGAGCTACTTCTATCACCTCATTAGGGTTTGACTCCTCGGCTTTGTTGGACATGCATTTGGATGGGGATGATTTTGATTGTTGTGACATCGTTGGAGACGTTAATTGAGAATGGAGGAGTTTTCTTTCATTGGAGGTTGTAGGGAAGATGAATAGTTTGATCGTGAACCAAGTGGTGTAGGAGTTTAATGTGTAGGGGCTCATAGATGATATGGCAAATGAGGAGGGAACTTAATGTTTTGACCAATTAGTAAATGATTGAATTTTAAATTATAATTCACTATTCCCACTAATTGCTATAACTCACCATTACTCAAGGGCCTCAATTTTTGTAGATCATTTTTAAATTTATGGTCCTCGACACTTCTTGCACCAATTACTGCCCTATTTATTGCATAATCATCAGGTATTGCACAAATCCCTTTCCATTTACACGAGTTACCCCTGAGCATGCCTCCATTGAACTCACCAGGACTTGGTTGAATGGTGCGCTGGATGTCACAGAACAAGGTCATGACATCCGGAGTAACATTGCTTCCTCTAGGCAGGGTAGCACCCATGGACTCCATCAGGTTCCAGTATAGCCT